TTTTAAACAACCCTAAGCATAAGTCTACTATAAAGTCATACAACTAAGTTATAGGAGATAAATATAACTAAAATAGACACAAATATAAAAAATGGAGTAATTTATAGAGTCCATAGTCAACCTAGATTTTGAAATTTTATTTGGTGGTGAAATATTTTATATTTTATAGCCCCTTTTTTCTAGCTCCTATTATGGAATATCTTAAATTTTTATTGGTCAAAATTTGGAAGACTGGTGTTTTATTTAAAAAAACTAGTTATTATGTTTTAGGTCTCTTTATAGTGTGGATTATTGTTGTTCAGATATTGAGTGTAAGTAACAACTGTAGTTGCAACCTAACCTTAGTTAACGATTTAAACTGTCATGCTTAGATATGGGCTAATTTTGACAAAAACAAAAACACAAAAAAAAGTTTTGATTAATTTGAGGAAGAACTTTCTACACCCTTCACAAATTCATGAATAAAAAACTTTGTTATGTTCAAAATATGTCAATGAGACTGGGCGAGGACATTCCTGCTCTGATCTAGATCCTCAAATCTATTTTACATCCACGTCTTAGATCTTCGTCACAAAGGGATTTTATCTCCCACCTCATGTTTGCGCAGATTTCCGCAGAGTTCTTAAGGAGATTCATAAATATAAAAAAATATATTTGTACATTCTAGGATTCCTAAAAATTGAGCTTTTGTAGGCCGAGTACAAAGAGGCAAAGAAGTCGGATTGCATAAACCCTTAGTAGGTCGGATTTCGATCAAGGAGAACATTGTTACAATGCTTAAGCAAGTCGGATCCGGTCACGTAGTGATTCTGGTAGATGAGTAAGTCGGATCTGGTCTTTGAAAAAGTGTCAGGAGACAACACGAATAGCCACAAATGACAGTTACGAAACATCTCCATGATTGCATAGGAGTTACAGAAATTAATGGAAGATGCGTTACTTAGGGAAGACGATGAACGTTATCAGAGGTCACTTTAACATGGGATATGAAGAGGCGTCCCTTTAAGGGCCATTAATAAATGAACGAGTATAAAGACTTCCCAGTGAGGAAAAGGACAACTAATACCTCATAACAAACAGGACGATTGTGATCTCACTTGGCTAGCTTCAATGCGATTTATCCAAATAGTATTTATCCAAATAGTATTTATCAGGAACAATATTTCTTAAAATAATTTAAGATAATCATTTATATATATATATATATATATATATATATATATATATATATATATATATATATATATATATATATATATATATATATATATATATATATATATATATATATATATATATATATATATATATATATATATATATATATATATATATATATATATATATATATATATATATATATTTTACTAACTTTGCATATTTCATATAAGTTCTAAATTTATTTATAAAATAAATTATATGAAATGACTAATAAACATACATAAAAATTTTAAATTATATATTAATTAAAATTATTGTATTTTAGGCGAAGCAGAGACTTTGCGAGGTGGAGGATATGTTTGCCGTCCCTGTCTTCTAAATGCCTTAGAGGGAATTCATTCTCTATTTCCATTTCCATGGGAGAAATCTCCATCTTTGAAACATGACAATTCCGTGAGAATCCACACTAGCAGATGCAAGTTAACATCTCTAGCCTAAAGTACAATTTTCAATAAATCATGTCATTTGTAAGTATACTTATGAAATTATGTGTGTTTTTTAGTTAGGTAGGCAAATTACTCTCTAATAATTAAGGTTTTTAAACATAAATCATATCATTGATTGAATAGGAAATTAGATCCATGTCTAGCCAGGTCGTGTCATGGAATAATTTTTTAAGAAGATAAAAGTATATACTATAAAAAGGAAAAAAAAATACATAATTGGGAGACTAGACATATCTAGAATTCCTTGGTCACCAACCTCCCTCTCCTTTAAATCAGTGTTCTTATTTGTAATTGATATAAGGTTATGCCATATTCAAAAAAATTACTTAAGTTATAGGCTCCTTCGAGTTCCACCTTTTCCTAGAATATGGAATCTGGCCTCAAACCCTTCTCGAACATCTAATATTTCAATCCATCATTAGTTCTTTCTATTATCACTGTCACTTTCGTAAATCGGTCAATGTACTCACACATGTTTTCCTTCTTTCTCTGCGGGACCTTGTTGAGTACGACTATGGTTATGGGTTACCACTTTCAGGAGGTGAAAAAGTCACATAAATCCTTCCACGAATCTACACTCCCATATGGAAGGGTTTTGAACCACGTAATCATGGCTCTTGTTAGGGTCACTGCGAAGAGCTTGCACTTCTCGGACTCTTGGGTGTGGTAAGCATGTTATCTACATGTTCAACATGTTAGTCCGAACATCTAGTTTCGTCTTAACTTTGAAAATTTAGAGGTTTCTCCAAAGACCTTAGGATTCTGCTATGAAGGATGCAAATAGATAGCAAGTTTTTCTTTCACTCTAGAGCTAGAATGTATATGTTATGTCTTTCCCATATCCAGGAATAACATACTGGTGAACAATGAGGAAAATGAACTTCGAAAAAAGTATGGATATCAATCATTCCTTTAGAATCAGGCAGATGTGTTCTATGTCCTCAGTGCCGATTATGATCTAGTGATTTCGGGACCTCCCTCTATGGCATATCTATGCTGATGATAACTGCCTCTGGTGTATCATCTTGGTTGCCCCAAGAGCCTACGTCCTATATAATGGTGTTCCTTGATGGAGCCTATTGAAGGTTCTCTTCAATCTTGAATAACTTATCAGCCATGAACTGTGAGTTTTGTTGGTGTACTAGGTTGTAGATGTTGTTTAGTAAGTGGATGACTCCATGTACTGCAAGATTTTTTAGCACTAACCGAAGGCTTGAGAGAATTTCTTATGCATGTACATTATGTTGTGAAGAATGTAAATTTGATGGTTAACCTTGGCAAGGTAGTTGTATAGGCATGAAGAACGGGAGATGATGGAATGCTCCTTGACCAACTCTGGGAGGAACGAAATCTTGCTATGTATGGCCAAATGGAGATACCACCAGATATGTATTGCTTTTCATCAAAAAAGAGGGAGGAAGAGATGAAGCTTTGGAAGCTTAAACGACCACAACAACAATTTGTTGTTGGACGACAAATCGAGTGATTTTGGATATCACCATGTTCGATGAATCTAATAATAGATCTGTATGAGGAGGAGGTTTAAGCTTCAAGAGAAGAGATTGGTGATCTGGATCTTTGATGAAGAAACAATGTTTTCATGAAAATAAGCGGGAGTTGGAAGTCAGTTTTTACAGACGGGGTCATTGTTTTGTTAGGAACTAAGAATAAAAGATGACGTGGTGGAGTTGTGTCTCACTGCGGTGGAGCAATACTTCTGATGCGATGAAGAGTGAATAACTACAAGGTTATCACTCTAACACCCAAATTACTGAGAGAATCAGAAGTAATGGGATAGTGAGAATGAATTTTAATACCCGAAATATGCGTTATACAGTTATATATCAAAAACAGTTGAAATTGTTCCCGCGTAATACATTATTTTATGCGGACAGCCGCCTGGTTGAATTGGATGGTGATCGATACATTGACAGGAAGAATCGTCTACTCTTGGTCAGAGTGAAAATTTACATGTTCAATCCTTCTTTATACTTGGAATTTGCTATTGAGCCTTTCACCATGAGCTTTGCTAACAGTCCAGAACACCAACAAATTCATAACAAACCAAAAACTCAACCTATTATCAAACAAATCCACAGTCCAAAAAAACAACAAAGTCCATTACATGTGAATCGAGAAAATCGAACCTGAGCTTAAACATACACGCTCACCTGAATCAGACTCACTATTGTGCTGCCACTAGCAGCTCTAATGCCAGGTTGATTTATGATTTCTATAATTTAAAAATATATAAAATATGAAATGTTAGATATTAACACGGAATTTGATAGAGTCGTAAAAATTATAATTAAATAGATGGGTTAGATATTAAAATGGTTTAAAATATTATATCTTAGTTAATATTTCATTTTAATTGTTTTTGAGTTAAAAAATTTTAGTGTTTGATTTTTTTAATTTATGATTTATAAATAATATTATATATTATATATGTTGTATATGTACAAAAAATTAAATAAAAATCTTTAAATTTTATTAGTTAATTTTTATTGTCTTCTTAATTTTAAAATATTATAGTTAATCTTTAGTTTTGAAGTTGTATTTGATGAGTCACTATCTCCTCGGTTAATCCATCTTCCTTTTTTAAGTTTTTATTTTGGACTTAATATTTTTTTTGACTTCGTATTTTAATTTCGGGATTCATTTTAATTTTTTAATTTTAAAAAAATTTATATTAGTTTCTTAACTCTTCAAAACATTTTATATTTGTCTTTTTTGTTTTATTAGTGACAAAAAAATTCGAAAATCAGTCGCTAATTAAATAAAAAAGACTAATAGAAAACGTTTTGAAAAGTTAAGAGATTAATATGAATTTTTTTTAAAGTTAAGAGACTAAAATAAATTCTAAAGTTAAGATTGGGGACCAAAATAAATATTAAATTTTTATTTTTATTTTTTTTAAGTCATAAATGGTGACGTAGAATATAAAAGCACCCACTCATTCTTATTCAAATGCAAGAGTTTATTCTAACTAATGACACCTCATTATATAAAATGTTAATTAGGCACTTTCATTTATTTGCCGGAGCTTGAATTCCTTCAACTTTATTAGCTACACAATTTAACATTTTTTCTTTGTCCTTTGTTATGACAACTTCCCTTTGTCGTTTAGATTTAAAAAACGCATATGCAATAGATGCTATGCTACCAAGTAACAACATGCGAGTATATTACAAAAGAAAATATCATAGAATAAAAATATTAATCAATAATCTTACAAGTAATAAGCTACTAATAACAAATTAAATTAAACAACATCCAATAAAGTGTAACACAAATAATTATTTTGAAAAATCTCATGTCTCATGAGAAACTCTATAGGATATGATGAGGAGAGAAAGGAGAAAATGAAGAAGACAAGACAAAAGAGTGTTCATTGCTATTACCAATAGCATGAGGGCTTCTAGGTGCTATAGGGCTTCTTGGTGTTATAGGACTTTTTGATCTTGGAGTTGTCACACCACTTTGAGTATGTGATCTTCTACTCCTTCTTGGTCCTTTTTCTGCACAAATGAGCTCAACTTGCTTCATTGTTATTGGATACCTCCAATTGCAACACCCTACCTTCCCTGCTCTTTCTATGTACCTTTGGCTGAATTTCAATCCAAGACATTCTATGCATTTTCTTCCTTCTACCATCTCTCCCATTCCTAGCTTCACGCATCTGCAGCAATAAACTCGGCCACATACCTGAATCCATACGCCGTTATCAATATAGTTACTAAATCGTTAGGTCATGCAGCTATGACTATGCTGTTGGTCTAAGGTTTAATCCCCAGCGACAACATTTATTTATATTTATATATTAATGTAAACAAGTTGTAAAAAATATATGTATAGATATATTTTATCGAACTTTTAGAAAAAAAAATTGAAAAGAAAAGAAAGCATGAGATATCTTGTTGACATACCAAACATCTAGTACGGAAGACATAAACATAGGTACTACAAATGGTGCAAATCTTAGTGTGAGGAATTCCAGGTCGACGTCGTCCACCACTGCCTCTCCCAGACGCCATACTCACATCATCATAACTCATACTATACGTCGAACGATCATCTCCACCGGTCATTGATCGAGGACTCTTTGTATCTCGAGGACTTTTTGCACCTCCACTTGTATGACTAAATTGAGGAGCATCATGTACATGTACACGATTCTCCTCTAGTGGTTGCCCAAAATGACCCCACGGCGAGCCACCACGGCCAATATCATGATGATGATGATGATGTTGGTTGTGTTGAATGGAAGCTTCTAAGCCTTTGCTAAAATCAAGACTAGGTATTTTGGCTAGTGAGGGTAAAGGCGACGACGATGACGAATTCGCCCTTGTTGGAATATTGCTAGCAACTTCAGAAACATGTTGATTACTTGTTGTTGTCTTCACATTAGCAAGGTCTTGAAAAGTTAGGTTAACAGATTCATCTGGAATTCCTAGGTACAATGTTTCAAGATCAAGCAAAATTGGTTTTTCATCCATTTGAAGAAATTCTATGTTAAGAACAAGTGCATTTGATTAGGCTATAACTATGTGTTATATAATATAGAACTTTAGGCCTTATGTTAAATGGTTACAGATAAGACCACAAGTATATTATATATGATAATGACAATGATAGATTTGGAATTTTTAAGGTAAAGGGTGACACAAAAGGATGTTTTTAGACGTGTGATTTTGGTTACATTGTAAACAAAGACGATCATATATAGACAAACATTGCCTGTTATAAGGCCGGTCGAAAATTATAATGTTTACCTAAGAATACATTAGATTCAATTCATAGATACCAATTGGCTGTTCTCTTTGTAAGAGACATTAAGTCAATTGTTTGAAAAAGTACTATATAAAAGTAACATATTTTCCACCAATCAAACATGAAAACAATAGATATAACAAGATGAACATGACATGTCCGGCCTAAACTAGAAAAGCTATAACTTTGTTTTAACTAAAAGAAAAAATCTATCTTAACCATCCCTTTTGAAAAGGAAAAATATAAAATTGGTATGAAACTACCTAAATAAAATGAAAATGAATGTAATCTAAACTTCAGTTGAGAATTAAGTTTAAGACTAATTTCATGTATTCCCTTGCAGTTCTTTCATGATGACTAGTTAGTCATAATCTGGCTTGTTATATGTATCCATTTCCATATCGTCGTGATTCGGATGACAATTCAGATCTAACTGTCCCGCCGCATTCGGCTCAATGACCTCAAGCTGACCTTCATTTAGGCTTTCCTCGTCCGATGAGTAGCTAGTATCGTGTTCTGATGCACTGCCACTTGTATCTGCTTCGTCTCTGTGATTCATTTGATAGTTTTGGAAAGCAGCTGCTTCAGATGATTCTGATTGGTTTTTCTTCCTACGCATCATATAGGTATTGAACCGGCGCTTCACAGTCTCGCAGGGGATGCAAGTGCATGTTGGCTTATGTTTTGCTTGTCCGCTTGGTGGTTGATTGCACACGATGCAACTGCATCCAGGACGATGCCTCGGATGTTTGGTGGTGGCTCCAGCTGATGATGATTCTCCGAGTTCAGCATGATTGTCTCCGAAAATTGCTGCACTTGCAAGAGCTTCTAGGCTTGAAAGCTTGTCATGTTCAAATGACTTACTCTTTTTGCCAATTTTTCTCTTTTTAGAAACTGCAAAAGACAGCGCGCAGCCGGAAAATATAAGAATTAATCATGTACAAATTATCAACAACCTCCAACGGTGTTTCGATAAACAAGACTTCTACAGAACTTATATATAAAATAGTAAAAGAATCGTACTTTTTCTGGTTCGTTTAAGATTTTCTTTTTCCTTTGGACTGAGCTTCTCTGATGCAGAAGATTGACAAGTATTGGTTATAGTTCTCATCCCGAAAACCGGTGGTTCCTAAATAAAATTAATTAGAAGTCAAAAAATAATCAAGGTAACAATATTTGAGCACGATTCTCCAAAGTCCAAACTATATCATTCACAGTTTCTGACTTACATCATATTCTTCGAATATTTGGTCCTCGATTGTCACGAGGTTTGGCTTAACACTAGGCGGAGGACAAAGAAAGTCCTGTGCTTCTTCCCATGTAAGTCTCAACTCTATAGAATCTTCACTACGAATGTGCAACCTCTTAGTTTTCGGCCCAATATTGCGAGTCTTTTTCTTTTCCGAAACAGAAACCAATTGCTGCAACGGATCACTGTTCATCACCGCCTTACTATGCGGGGTTTTGAGCCAATCAGAAGTCCCATTACCCAAACGCAGATGTTCTGAATGTCCATTTAAGTTCGGTTCCACGTTACCTTTCATTTTTTTAAAAAGATCAGAAAAACTACCTAACGAGTTCAAAATCTTAGTCGCACCAGAAAAGTTTGTATCCTTCGTCAAAATTCCGTTCGAATGAGCTGATGCAGAGGCATCCTGTTTAAATAATAGCTCTTTTAATCATATTTTCAAAAATAATCGAAGAACATAGATGCATCATCTAAAGAAGGTTAAGATAGTATAGTTGAGAATCATGTCATAACCTGTGTATCAATATTCGAAGCCCTTCTAAAACCGAGTACAAATTTTTCCCCAGGTTCTATCCGACTAAATGTCACTACAGCAAAAAGGTCGTATTAATTGATAACATTTTGACATGAAACAGAAGACCAAGTAACTTTGAATGACCGTCCGAAATGAGGACACAATAGTATGTGCAGTAATCATGGCTTAGATTGATGCATACCAGTATCACCGGCGTTTAATTGCAACGACTGTATGCAAGGAGTCACACCTTCCAATACATACATCCTACTGTTGTTATTAGGCCAAAACCGGAACTGAAAAGTCCACTCGTTCCCCTTCAAATCTTGGAACTGTAATGGAACACCTTCTGATTGCGAAATAGGAGGAAGAAAAGCCTGAAATTCATTCGTGGATTTGTCATGTGTTTCAATTACAGGAGAATATGCATTTCTTTGATAAAAAAAAAACGTTAAAATAGAGTCACATATAGACAGGTAGAGATAAACATCAAAGGATACCTCAGCACACGCTTTTGGAAGAACAAGGCGACCGATTCGACCTGCATCACTCGGACTTAACACCTTCTCAAATAAGGGAACTATAGTAGACTTCAATCTGAGATACTAATGTTAAAGGAAACTATCAATGGATCAAGTTCATATGCTGTTTTCAGCTTTTTTCTGTAAGTACTTCATAATAGCTTATAACTTATATGAAAATAGTTTGACTTCAATTTATTGTTAGTTAGAAAAATTGCTTATACATAAGCACTTAAATAAGCTGCTTTCAGCTTATTTCTGTAAGTACTTTAGGATAGCTTATGAAAATAGCTTATAACTTATATGAAAATAGTTTGACTTCATTTTATTGATAGTCAAAAAAGTTGCTTATACATAAGCACTTAAGTAAGTTGTTTATCTAAATAGAGTCTAATGATAAAGGATACTCCCCAGACAACTTCTCCAATTCTTGATTAGTAATCCTTGGCCAATATCGAGAAAGTAACTGACTTTTCCCTTTCAGATCAGCATATGGCCGGCCAACGCGTTCATGAGATATCAAACCTTTATTTGCTTCGAGATTCATGGTAACCCCGTTCTTCGTTTGTTTAGTCAATAAAGGGTGAGATTTTTGCTCTTGCTGAAAAAGAGAAATCTTCAGCGAAAGTAGTTCATCTATATTATTTTTAGTCTCCCATGTTGGTCGATTACTTTCCGATGATGTAAGCCTCGATAAATGATTAGAATGTTTCATCACATTTAAGTATCCTCGATCCTCTTTGTTGAATCGACACTTAACTTCTCCGCTCTTTTGACCATTGCATGAAACCATGCCGTCTCTCTGAGCATGTGGCCAATGGCTTGACTCACCAACATCACCTATTCTACACAACTGCAAAAGGTTTCCTTTGCCAGCACGTTCAGCATATCGATCACTCGCATTGTTTTTGGTCGATAGAGTAAACCTATTAGATTTTTCAGTATCCTGCATCCAAAGAAAACACTCAAGAATAGGAATAGGTAAAATTTACAAGTCACAATGGCAGAGATGAATATTCAACTTAATCTTACCGGACAAAAATGGGAAAACTTGATGCAGCTAACACAGCCTATACCTCCGGAATCAAGGCACTCGAACAAAGACCTTGATACTATACATCCACAGTGGATCGGCTGCAAAACAAATCAAATCAAATAATAAACTTCAATGTTCAAGAGAGACAAAAGACACTTAAGTATAATTTATATAGCATTTTTTTACCTTGTTACAATTGGTGCATTCCCTCCAACCGGCTTCATGACGGTGGAATATATCACAGAAAACCGAATTCTCATAGGCAAGTCTAAACATGACAAATTGAGAATTTGTAAGCAGAAAGAGGGAATACAGAGTGTTTCATATTCTGACTTCAACTTAAAATAAAAAAACTCAAAACATGATTCGATTAATCTTCATTTCATCCAAAGACTGAGGTTCACGGAGGCTTTGCGAGGATACAAGAATCCAGAAACTATTGACTAGTCCAATTTCATCTCATAAAAAGACTCAAGTCAAATCCAAAATTATTTACAAGAAACACAAACCAACACATTCGGCAATCTAGCCCATTCACGTATTCAGCACACATCTCTGACCGTCAGATCAATCATAGATGTGTGTTGACTACTCGGATGTGTCAAATTAACTACAACAGTTCATTCAAACTCCATCAACAATAACAAAAAGTAGTAGCAGTAAAGTCAAAACCCCAAAACCACAGCATTGTAGAATCAATCAAATTCATGAAAAAAATCTCAGTTCAAGTAAAAGAGAGAAAGGAATGAAATTTACCCGCACTTGTTGCAGAGTTTTGCGAATCCACCAGACATCAAAGACCACCCTTTCTTCCATTCACCACTTGAACCATCCTTACACAGTCTATTCATGCAAACTTCAACCCCCATATTGAACAGAATCCAGAACAAATCAAAGTCAAAACCCTAAAATTCCTCGAATTTCAGCAACACAAAAACACACACTACAAGAAAAAAAAAAACACAGATTAGATTATAACTTTCAGAATTCAAGATTAAAACAACAAAAAGATAAACATAAACAGAACAAACAAAAAACAGAACCAACCTTAAAAAAAAAACAAAAACAACTGTTGTAGTGTTTTCTATATGCTGTTGTAACCATAAACCATGCACATGGATAACCGTGTCAACGTTAATTGATGTTTAACTTCGACACTAACACTGAATCGAAGAAGAAGAAAATATGAAAAGGTGAATATGAATGGAATGAAACAACATGGTAACCGTAAATAGTGAGAGAAAGAGAGAGAGGTTTTTATAGAGAGAGAAAGTGCATGCAAAATGCACAAACACAAACACAATACACGCACGCATAGAGATAACGATAGTGCAAAATGCATGCATAACAATTCAATAGTCATTATTATTGTTTCTCGAAACAACATAATATAACTCCGTTTACCT